TAATATAGATAGACAAACAGACATTGCAACAGACAAACTGACAGATATATAAATGTAATAATGTGATCGCTTTTATATTCCACTAAAATGCCACACCTTTGGATTTTTATATTTTAAGTTAAGAAAGAAATAATAATGCATCTGTTTGTACTTTTTTGTCTAATGTGGAGCAATATTGCACAATGCAAAATGAGCTTGTGTTTCATTTGACTTTGCTCAATATAATATTCTGTTTTATTAACTATATACCGGTATCTATCATACTACTAACTAAAAAAGCAAAAAAAAAAAAAAAATATATATATATATAACCACTTTAAATATATGGATATCTAATTGATGCAGCAATATCTGTATTTTTATTTCTTCACTATGTTTAAAAAATTCTGTCACTTCTTTCCCTTGTATACATATATACCCCCCGAATTCACAACAGACAATGCTACTTCACTACTGTCTGACTTGTTGAGAATCAAGTGACGATAAAATAGCCCTGATGGATGAGAAATGTCACTTTGGTGACAAGATTCAATGTATTCTTGTTCAAAGGTGGATTCCGGCTTCAAAGTGAATCCCACGCTTCCTGTGCTGAGACTAACACCCACATCATGCCAGTCTTTCTCTGAAACTGATCTCTGCTCTTGTTGATCTCTGCATGTTTATATGGAAATCCATAAGGGCTTGAGACAGGAAGTTCCTGCAGGTGGAACTGCGTGAAAATGCGGGATAATAAACTTCCTCTTGTTTTTATATTTTATTATTTCACATGAGGGTTCAGATAGTAAACAGTGTGAGATATTAACAGTATATATATAATGATATTATCTGATTCAATACTTTACAAAGGTTGTCTGGGAAGAAAGCACGGCATTTCACCGCAACATTATAGAAACTATATATCACTGGCTGAATAAATCCTTCCTATCCTAATGGAAAACCTAAAATTAAACTTACTTTAGATCAGGGGTGCCCAAAAGGAAGATCCCTGGATGTTTTAAAACTAAAGCTTCCATGATGCTTTGTCATTCTATAGGCATGCAAAGCATCATGGTAGTTGTAGTTCTACAACATCTTGGGATCTACCTCTTGAACACCACTACGTTAGATAAACTTACACTGTAACACAATCACAAAAACAGGAGACGGCTATAAATGGGCCAGGTTAAATGACTTCTGTTGGCAGATGTGAGCAAGAGTATCATTTCGAAAAAGCCAATAAAATGGATACTATTAGCATATAGTCTTAGTTTGGCTCATGAGTATACCCTAGTGACCCTAATGACTACTGACACTAATAAAATGTTTAATGCCAGTAATAAACCCCTGATACACACCACAAAGATGGATCTGGAAAAAAGGATGATAACTTTATATCAAGTATAGGACACAAAGCTGGGACAAAAATGATATTGTAAATAGTAGGTATATTCCCATGAAATACTCTTTGGTCTTGTGGACAGGGTATATAGACTATGGCTATCTCAATGTGCTGCCTGGGTCTTAGGAAAGAAACCTTTGTTTCTTAGCAAATCTTGACATATCTCAATCTGTGTGTTTTTAATCTTTAATTTTAATAAATAGTTTGTTTACAGTGAAAACAGAAGAATTGTTCTTATTCACAAGTGTTAACACAAAGACACCTCAGGATTCCTCTTTTGGGCCCCAACATATTGTGACCACTATTGACTTTTATGAGAGTTATGTTTGTGTATATTTAAACAATACTTTGCTACACCTTTCTTTTTATTCTGAATGAGTTTGCATCATGTATTTACTTGGTTGTTTATGTATATGCTTGAAGAGTGTAAAAGATGGTTTCTTCAGGTAGCCAGTGACAATGGTGGTTTACGGGCCCAAGCCAATCTTATGTTATAAATGCCATGCCAAACTTGATAAGTTTGTAGCGTGTATTAGTATGGATGTAGAATTGATTTTACTGTCAGGACAAGCTGGAATGTGCCATCCAACCGAAGAGATGCTATTGACAGAAAGCCAAAAATCCAAGATAGGCATGACTTACATATTATTAATAAGTGATAGAATTATATTAAAATGAAATCTACAATAATGGGTTATAAAAATAATTTATTCAAGGTTGATGGACTTTTTTAAACCTAGACTACCATGTAACTATATGTGTTTTCTATTCAGTTTAAAATGCAACAATGGGAAATTTAAATATTGGAATCATCCTTGAAATTGCCTGGAAAATACTTTGTGCATGGAAGTAATCTGCTAAAAGCAAAAATAACACAAGGACATATACAAATCAATCTTTCAAGACTGAATGGATATCAGGATATCTATGATACTCCAAGGATCCTGCACGGTGCCATAATAGTATCCTCTATATCCCAAGAGCCAAATAGAACTTTACTAGCCAACATAAAAATGAATGTGCTTTTTAGAAGTCCAATGATTTTTAACACATTTAAGTGTTCCAACTTTCCTCATCGTAAAACCCTTTGAAGCAACATTGCAATTATATTTTGTAGCAAAAGCACTATGTGCTTAATTTGCTTAGCTTAAAATTGAGTTTGATTTTGGTTATACTCAGTGATTAAATGAAGGTCTTTTTGACTGCACTAATTTTTTTATTATGTAAGTTATGTACCTCACCACGCTTCAGAAAGGTCCAGGAAGGACAACAGTGTTGCCTATTGTTGTGGAGGTTGAGAATCACTATTTACTTAGGTCGTGTTATGGGTGGCAGAGATTATTCATATTGTTACACTCACAAATACTCGCACTCGCAGTGCTGCTAAGCATTTTATTCAAGTTAAAATCAGTAGATCCTAATGACAATGGTACTATATACTGGATTATAGCATGACAGGGATATCGGCAATTCATTAGATATGGAGCATGCATATTCATATAAAGGCAAAATATATTATTTGCAACAAACATTTTTTTCCATTCAGTGACAATTGTTTATATATTTAATTTATTTTATCATCTAGATACCGTAACAGTGCTCAGAAGTGAGATCATTTAAAAGCTTCTAGTTGGAAGTAAATGCCCTCCTCTGGGCTCCTCTTAGGTCCGCTTAGCATTTGTATCCACTACGCCGTATTGCAGTGATTATGGATGGTGCAAGGCATCCTTGGGTTTCATCCATTAATTTTCTGTCAAAAATATCGGAGCACTTTTACAGCAAATTGGAGCTCACGAAAAGCCAATATATCGTAGATTATTGTGTACAGATTTACAGGAATATAGCATAATACTCTTGGGATGTCGTCTCTAAGAGTGGCCACAAACTATACAGTATTTATAGCAAGTACACTAAAATCTCACTATTCTATTGGAAAGGAATGGACATATTCACAAAGCTGCCCAGTTAGTCCACAAGTAGAACATGTGAATTTTGATCACAAGAACCTATCGTTTTGCATATTTAGAAAAATGCCCTTGAAAACACGCATTCTTTTACATGCTAATTTAAGCCATTCATTTGCAATTTTTCTAAATATTTGTTTTGTACAGTCACCATAAACATCTATAGTTGCTCAGCTATATCTTAGTTATGTATTGCTCTAAGCTCAGAAAGGGACAGAAGATCAGATTGCACTGTTTTATTAAATAGTACATTATGATATTTATAATAAGATAATAAAATTCTGAAGCATATAATCCATACCTGCATATTTTTATTTCTGACTTGGAAAAGTGACAGAGCGCTTACAATGTCTTCAGTGTATCAGGATCAATACCACATGTATAACGTGATACATAAACTTTTCTTTTCCGTAGACATCTACAGTCCTTAAATCTGCAGAATAAAAATGATGATGATGATGACAATTTTAATGCTCACTCGTGTTTTTTTTTTTCTTAGACGTGCATTAAAGGTGGAAAACATAGAGGGAGTCAGTAATTCTTTTTCTGTGGTCTATGTTAAGCTCAGCAATAAAAAGTAATGTGTGATTTTACTGACCAACTGGCACGTGATGGCTGCTGTTAGCCTGGCTGCCAATCCTAGGATGGAAGCTTCTCTATGTATAGAAAGGGAGTCATGCAAAAGGAGATTTAGAAAGAACCAATACACTGTGTCTGTCCTCAATGGACACGATTGTGTTTGTTTGCAGCATGTATTAGAAAATTATTATTTCTTATGAACTGTTAACAATACGATTTTCTGTCCATTGTTTATTTTTACACATTTTATGTTTCAGATTGTCTAATTTAATTCCAAGAATGAACTTGTTATGTAACACCACTCTTTGCCTCATTTGTGTTTTTGTAGACACTGTTTTACTTGGACTCCAAAGAAGCAGGTAAAGAAAGCATTGCCAGTCGGTACAAGGGAAGAGGGCACAATGAGTAAATTAGGTATTTTAAGGCTTGAAATGAGATATGTCTTGTGTATATATTCCAAGTATCGCATAGTTTATTAAAGGGTTACTCCAACCACCATGACCTCTTCTGCTTTTAGAAGTGGTTATGGTGGCAGGAGTCTGTATGTGCAACATTGCAGAGATATTTTCTATTTGCACCTCTGGCAAACGTGAGTTAGGAAGCCCACAACTCTGTTCCCAGTTGCACTGTCTGTCATCAGCATGATGGCTGTTTTTATGTTTTTGTTTTTTAAATCCCCTCTCTTGTTCAACCCTACTCCCTCCCCTTACCAGCTCAGAGTGTGTGCCCACGCTCTGAGTAGGTTGAATGATCCAATCAAATGCTTCTCCATTTAGATAAGCTAAAACTAGCTTGAGAACCCATTGAAGGGCAAACTATTCGTGCAGTTGTTAATTTTCAGTATTCTCTTGCACCCTGTTGTTTTGGGTTTTTTTTTTTGCTCCCCCTAAGAAATGATGACATTGGATATTAGAAAATTGAAAAGCCAATGACAGTTCTGATAAGAACAGGTTATACTGTGTTTTTTTTTTCTTTTTCTAATGGATAGACTAGAGCAGGGCTGTCCAACCTGCAGCCCCCCAGATGTTGCTGAACTACAACTCCCATGATTCCCTGGCAGGGCTGTCCAACCTGTGGCCCCCCAGATGTTGCTGAACTACAACTCCCATGATTCCCTGGCTTTATGTTTCATTGAACGAATCATGGGAGTTGTAGTTCAGCAACATCTGGGGGGCTGCAGGTTGGACAGCCCTGGACTAGAGGATTAAGTTACCTGAGTGTGTACATGTTATAATTTTGTTAACATATGGATGTTCAGGGTGGTTTTACTTGGTAAACACTGGGCATCTTAATGTCATTTTAGTAAAGATTAAATTCACAGAATACACATTACTGACAAATGTATACATTAATTTGTGGTCACTTGGTATCCATCTGCTAATGAGTGTTTTGTGTAGGATAATGCCTTAAGGACTTGATTAGATTGAAATATGGATTTTAAGGATGACCTCAATGCAACAAGACAGTATATATGATAGCATTTATATTTTGAGGAATCTTTATAATCACTGATTTATACAATGTTCTATAAACATGAAAGGTAGTCATCAAGTATATACATGTAATACAGGGATTAAAATGTCCACTCACCGCTGGCCATTGGCAATTGAAGATTCCAACCTTGGCTAGCACTGTAGGGCTTGAAATTGTATAAAATTTCAAATAACTCAAGAACTAGCAATAGCAATTTATGTTTTATGCTCAAATTAGCAGTTAAATGGCACAACCCCCCAAAAATGCTAGCTCTCCAAGGTCTATGTAGAAAAAGAAAACTTAACTCGTATTATATTATTCTGATGAACGTTTATATGGTAAAACTGAAACGTTGATACAATAAAAGTTATTTTACTTTTCTACAAAGGCCTTGGAGTGCTTGTATGTGTGTCTCTAAAAAACCCTGGGAAAAGTTTAATTTGAGTGGTATAACGATGAAACATCATCTGTATCTTTGTTCCTGTAATATCAATATCTTCAGTGAAACTTCCAAAATTATTTTTGAGATGGCTTACAAAAGAATGCACCTGAAGTATTGCTTTTTATTACATCTATGTTACCTATGCACAACTACATCTGATGTTACACCCAGGAATGTATGCACCATTTTAACATTAAAATAATCAAAGGAGACTCAACAAATCTCATCAAAATTAATCAGTGAGAATTCAAAAGATAGATTAAACCTTCTTAATTCACAGTGTTAAAATAAATGTAATTTAATTTTGATTCGGTCAAAGAAATCGCAGAGTCAAATATTTTATCACACAGAACGGACATCTTTTGTAACCAGTAAAATCTGTAAATACTTTTAGCTTTAACAAGTAATAAAATCTTCTTTGAATTCAACAACGGAACCTGTGTGATGCTTGGATTGTATAATCCTTTAATACAGGTGCTATGTGTACCATGACTGCAAGGAATATTAATGGGATAGATCTTAGAGATTTATAGAAAAGCAGAAAATTGGCTTCAAAATCAAGCCAATTACAACTGCAAAAAAGGTCATGTCAAGCAAATGTGAAAGAGCCTAACAAATAATACCAAAAAGATGACAGCTTTACGGTATATAAATTACAAGGTTTACAAAATACAGAGAATTTGTGCTAACTAAGGTTGCTTTGTCAAACACTTTAATGCAAGAGAACCCCTTAAAACTTTTAGCAATATCATGAATGACTCTCATTTGTGACAATATATAAGATATATGAAGCATGACTTCCATTACCCAAAAGGAAAAGTTCCATTTGAAAATATGTGTTTGTCTAGTCCAGAGAGGATGAAATGCGTAGACGTGGGCTTTTTTCATATGCTGTGGATTCTCTACTTAACTTCATTTAGGAGTGTTACTTTTGTCTAGCTAGGCTATGAATATTTATCCTTTAAGCCTCCTTTTACATTTCACAAGAAGGAGCTTGCCTGCTGTGATTCCATCTGCACCTCTTCTGCTCCTGGGACCTATATTGCAATAGAGTGAGCACCCAGAAATTCGGGGACAGGATATTCAGACAAGTATGCTCAAAGTCACTCGAACACTTCCTACATGTTGCCAACTCTATACTTACATCCCCTCCCTACTTATAGACCTCCAGTGTGTTAATTCTTTCCCATTATATTATAACCTCCCTCCGAGGAGAGAGGACCCCACACATCAGGAACTTAGGTCTTATTGTAGACCCTGCATTTATTGTAAACTGGATCAACAGAGTTACAATATGTGTTATATGCAGCCAATTCAGTCATGTTATATTTGTATTCCATATTACCGTTTAGCTAGCTCACTTGGTAACTGCTGGCTAAAGGGATATACTACAATTTTTATGCTAATGCCTTTTTGGTATAGATGATCATTAAGTTATATATTTTATGTTTTAATAAGTTTAATACTTACAATTTATATTAGCAAGACTACTCAATTTTCACCCTTTTTACCCACCCAACTTAATTTCAGACAAGTTCACTAATGAAAGAAACAGGGCATCATTGTGCAACAGCAGGAGAGAGAAACCCGGCACCGGAGCCTGGTCTGCATGAATCACACTGATCCCTGTCAGGATGATGCAAGGTGAATAAATCTTCTAACTGCACATGTGTTAATCTGTCAGTCATGCCAAATGCACTGTTTTCAGCATCCCTAGGGATAGGACACTGATTGGTAAAATCAATATCCCCCCTATGAGTATGCACAGGGGAGGGCTGGCAGCCTTAGGCCTGGGGGGCAAAACCAGTCAAGTGGCCCATTGCACCACCAAATCAGTTCACCATCCATGCCCACCTTTTCCTGGTTTTATAACGGATATTGATGTTATGCTAATCAGTAGCTCTTTGCCATACCCGCTCCTTCACGGCTCCAGGCACTGCTTGTTGTGAGTGTGAGCCACTGTAAATTAGGGGCAGAGGGCACTTGCACTGCGGTAAAGATGGGGCTGGACAGTAGACTGGTGCACCTGCCCAGGATCAGTGCCGGTGCAAGGATATTTGCAGCCCTAGACAAAATAAAAATTTGCTGCCCCCCATGTGACATCACAATGCCCCACCCATATGAACTAACGCCAGTGCTGCACACAGTGTGTGTTTACATTAAAAAGCCTGCAGGGACCAGCTATAGACACCAGAACCACTTCATTAAGCTATAGTGTCCCTTTAATGTGAGGTACATTATAGATTAGTGTCACTAATAATATACTAGATTGCCTACTTACAAGCAGATGAGGATGATGATGGGCTGCAGTTTGGCTCCACTGGTCTGGTGTAGAACAGGATCTCTGGAGGCTGTTTGCAACTGTGGTCACAAAATTCAATGTTCTGGGAGAATTGGAAGCAGCTCCATTTTTTGGGGCCCCTTACACAGCTCAAGGTCTGGGCCCCAGGGCCTGACGGTGAGTATGCCCATAAGGCCCACTCATAAGTTCCACCCACCCATGAGTTCGCTCACAGGGAGTGGAGTGTGTAGGGGATGTGTTATGTGTTATTGTAGAGGATCTAATATGTGTGCTTATGGTATGTAGTGTATAGGGTTACCAGTTTGTGCAGGTGATGTTGTGTGTTTGTGTGTAGTGGAAGCAGTGTGTATTTGTGTATAAGGGATGTATTATGTGTTTCTGGTTGTGTGTAAGGGATGCATTGTGTGAATCTGTGTTTGTATGCATAAGGGATGCAAGGTGTGTGTCTGTATGTGTGTGCATTGAGTGTAAGAGATGCATTGTGTTTCTGTGTGTATGTAAGAAAAGAAGTGTGTGTGTTTGCATATGTGTGTACGGGTTTGCATTGTCTGTTTCTGTGTATGTGTGCAAAGGATGCATTGTCTTTGTGTGTAAGGGTTGCATTGTGTGTGTGTGTGTAATGGATGCATTGTGTGTTTCTCTGTTGTCTCATGTAAGGGAAGCATGTTGTGTTTCTGTGTATGTATAGGGATGCATTGTGTGTGTGTGCGCGCGCGTAGTGTGAAAGAGCTCCCTGTCTTGGCCCCTGTCCTATAGAGCTGCCCCTTCTGTCCCGTAGAGCTCTCCCCTGCACCTTAGTGGTCTCTCCTCTCCCCCACCCTCCCCTAGCGGTCTCTTCTCACACTCACCTCACCCTCCCTGTGTTCATCTTACCCCCCTCCTCCCTGTGTTCTTCATACTTCCCCCCTTGGTCGTCTTACTCCCCCACCTGTTCTTCTTAAGCCCCCTTCTTCTTATTGCTCCCCCTTCTTCTTCTTATTCTTCTTCCTCTTCCTCCCCCTTCTTCTTCTTACTCCCCCCATTTCTTCATACTCACCCTTCTTCTTACCCCCTCTTCTTCTTCTTACTCCCCACTCTTCTTCTTCTTACTCCCCACTCTTTTTCTTACTCACCCCTTCTTCTTCTTCTTACCCCCCTCTTTTTCTTATCTCCCCTCCTTCTTACTCCGCCCTCCCCCTTTTCTTATTCCCCCTCTCCCTCTTACTCCGCCCTCCCCCTTTTCTTATTCCCCCTCTCCCTCTTCTTACTCCCCCCTCTTTTTCTTACTCCCTCCTCTTCTTCTTCTTACTCTCCCATCTTTTTCTCTCACCCCCCTCTTTTTCTTATCTCCCCTCCTTCTCTCCCCCTCCCTCTTCCTTGCTCCCCTCCTCCTTTCTTGTTACCTCCCCTCTTCTTATTCCCTCCCTCTTCTTATTCCCCCTTGCACATCCCCCCTCCCCTCTTCCCATTCCCCCCCTCCTCTTCTTATTCCCTCTCCTCTTTATCCCCCCCTCCCTCTTCTTATCCCCTCTTCTTATTCCCCCACTCTTCTTATTCCCCCCCCTCTTCTTACCTCCTCCCTCTCTTCTTACCCCCTCCCCTGTAGCGTGGCCGAGCTGCACTCCGGTCCGCGGTGGCCGGCCGGAGTGATAGGAAGGTGCACACTCAGTGTGCACTTCCTGTCAGTCCGGCCGGTTACAGGAAACAGAAACTCAGCGCGGAACAGGAGTTTCTGTTTCCTTAGCCGACGGCTGAGGAAGTGCACACTTCGTGTGCACCCTCACTCGGCCGGCTGGCAACCCCGGACAGTGCAGCTTCGGCGCTACTGAAACTGCAGCCGCCTGGGGCTCTTAACAGGAAGCTCAGGCTGCAGTATTAAAGACGACCGGCGGCCTTACAGGAATTTAGGGCGGCCTGGGGGGCAATTGCCTCCCTGCCCCCCGGCCCAGCCCGCCCCTGAGTATGCGTGGAAAGCT